TACTACTACTATTCAAAATTCATGCACTAACCACCAAATCGAAAGACGAGGAAACTGAAGATTTTTACCAACCTCTACCGTCTGAAATTGACCAAATATACAATCAATATGTGTTCATTATTAATAATGATTGGAATGCAAAAGTTGGAAACAAAGAAGACTCACCAGTAGTTGGAAAATATGGCTTTGGTGATAGAAATGACACTGGAGATTGCATGATAGAATTGCCCAAGATCAATGACTTATTCATTGTAAATACTTTTTTTCAACCGCATAAATGGCAGCCATACATGTGGATTTCACCAGATGGACTACTCAAGAATCAGATCAACTATATCTGTGGAAAGAGGCAATGGAGAAGTTTATTATCTTCAGGCAAAACAAAGCCAGAAGCTGACTGTGGAACAGGCCATGAACTGCTTATATGCAAGTTCAAGATGCAGCTAAAAGACAATTAAAACAAGTCCACAAAAGCCAAAAATGACCTTGACTATATCCCTCCTGAATTTAGAGACCATATGAAAAACAGATTCAATGTATTGAACACCAATGACTGAAAACCAGAGGAATTGTCAGATGACATTAAGAAAATCATCCATGAAGAAAGCAAAAGGTCATTAAAAAGATAGGAAAGGAAGAAAACACCAAAAAGGCTGTCAGATGAGACTCTGAAACCTGATCTTGAATGGAGAGTAGCTAAAGCAAATGGTAGAAATGACAAGATACAAGAGCTGACCAGAAGATTTCAAAGAGCAGCTTGAAAAGACAAACCAAAACCAAACTCACTGCCATCGAGTCGGATCCGACTCACAGCGACCCCTCCTTGGGTTTCCAAGACAGTATTACTATGCAAGTAGATTGCCCAACCTTCCTTCTGAGGCGTAGCTGGTGGGTTTGAACCACCAGCCTTCTGGTTAGCAGTCAAATATCTTAGGCACTACACTACCAGAGCTCCCTGAGAAGACAAAGTCAGGTATTATAATGAAATGTGCAAAGACCTAGAGTTAGAAAACCAAAAGGGAAGAACACACTTGGCATTTCTCAAGCTAAAAGAACTGAAAAAAAATTCAAGCTTCTAGTTGCAATATTGAAAGATTATATGGGCAAATACTGAATGATGCAGGAAACATCAAAAGAAGATGGAAAGAATACACAAAGTCACTGTACCAAAAAGAATTGGTCGATGTTCATCCATTTCAGAAGGTGGCATATGATTAAGAACCAATGGTACAGAAGGAAGAAGTCGAAGCTGCACTGAAGGAACTGGTGAAAAACAAGGCTCCAGGAATTGATGGAATACCCATTGAGATGTTTCAACAAATGGATGCCATGCTGGAGGCACTCACTTGGCTATGGCAAGAGATTTGGAGGACAGCTACCTGGCCAACTGACTGAAAGAGATCCATATGTGTATCCATTCCAAAAAATGGTGATCCCACAGAATGTGGAAATTATTGAGCAACATCATTAATATCACACACAAGTAAAATCTTGCTGAAGATAACTCAAAAACAGCTGCAGCAGAAGACTGACAGACAACTTCCAGAAATGCAAACTGGATTCAGAAGAGGACATGGAAGGAGGGATATCATGGCTGAAAGCAAAGATTTTACTTGTGTTTCACTGACTACACAAAAGCATTCGATTGTGTGGATCATAACAAATTATGGATAACACTGAGAAGAATGGGAATTCCAGAATACTTAATTGTGCTCATGAGAAACTTGTACACAGCCCAGGAGGCAGTAATTTGAATAGAACAAGGGGATACTGCATGGTGTAAAATTAGGAAGGGAGTGTGTCAGGTTTCTATCCTTTCACCATACTTATTAATCTGTATGTACAGCAAATAATCTGAGAAGCTGGACTATACGAAGAAGAGTGTGGCATCAGGATTGGAAGAAGACTCATTAACAACCTGCAATATGCAGATGACACACCTTTGCTTGCTGAAAGTGAGGATGACTTGAAGCACTTACTGATGAAGATTAAAGACTACAGTCTGCAGTATGGATTACACTTTACCATAAAGAAAACAAAAATCCTCATAACTGGACCAGTAAGCAGCATCACAATAAATGGAGAAAAGATTTCATATAACTTGGTTCCACAATTAACACCAATGGAAGCAGCATTCAAGAAATCTGATAATGTACTGCACTGGACAAATCTGATGCAAAAGACCTCTTTCAGGTGCTAAAGGGCAAAGATGTCTCTTTCAGAACTAAAAAAAAAAAAAAAAAAACAAACTGAAACTCACTGCCATCGAGTCGATTCCAACTCATAGAGACCTCTCCTTGGGTTTTCGAGGTGGCATCTCTATGGAAATAGATTGGTCAGTCTTCTTTCCAAGGCAGGCTGGTGGGTTTGAACCACCAGCCTTCTGGTTAGCAGTCAATTGCCTAAGGCACTATGCCGCCGCTCCCTAAGGTGCATCTAATCTAAGCCATGGTATTTTTCAACCACCTCTTATACATGTGAAAGCTGTACAATGAATAAGGAAGACAAAAGAAGAGTTGATGCTTTCCAATTGTGGTGCTGGCAAAGAATACTGAAAGTACCATGGCCTGGCAGAAGAATGAACAAATCGGTCCTGGAAGAAGTGCAGCAGGAATGTTCCTTGGAAGAGAGAATGGTCAGACTTTGTCTCACCCACTTTGGTCATGTTGTCAGAAGAGACAATTCCTACAGAAGGGTATCATGCTTGGTAAAGTGGAGGGTCAGTGAAAAGGGGGAAGGCCCTCAACAAGATGGATTGACACAGAGGCAACAACGATGGGTTCAGGTATTGCATTGGATTTGAGGCTGGCACAGGACTGGGTAGTGTTTCATTCTGTTGTACGTAGGGTCGCTATGAGTTAGGGTTGCTATTAGTTGAAGCCGACTCAATGGCACCTAACAACAACAACAACAACAGCGGGAGAAATAGGGAAAAGTACATCTAGTCCATCTTGTCAAAGAATTGGAATATATTACACTTTTTAATTAGTAAAATGCTATTTAATTTTAAATTCTTCCTTGTTTTATCTTTAGTTTTGTCACTTCTTTCTATCAGTAATGAAAGGTAACTCAGTTACCTTTCCTTTTTACAATTCTTCCTCAACATGGCCAACTTCATAGATGATAAGTATAAACTACCTCAATTTTTTAAAAAGATTTAACTCTGAAACACTAAACTAACTGCAATATTATTTTTTTGAAACAGTGAGAATGTAATTATTTACTCTGGTGGCGCAGCGGACAATGTATTCGGCTGCTAACCAGGTCAGCAGTTAAAATGCACCAGCTGCTCTGTAGGAAGAAGATGTTGCAATTTTCTTCTGTAAAGATTTACAGCCTTGGAAATGCAAGGAGGTTGCTATGAGTCAGAATCAACTCAGTGGCAGTGGTTGTAATTATTGACTCTTTCTTTATAATAGGACTTACTGCTACAGCTGCTGCATTTGCTATCGCCCCCTTCAGGTTTTGCCTCAGCTACAAAAAGCCTCTTTATCCAAGGTCATATCCTTCCAGAGGCACAATGACTGACTAGGACAGGTATATTAGGTCCAACCATTTTGGCCCAATTCAAGACAATTTTGAAGGACATTTCTGTTTCAGAGCTCCCAGTGGGACCAACTAAGGCTGTTGGGACAGCTTGACTTCTCTTTGACAAATCCTGTTTCCCTTCTCTCCGTTCTATAGGTGTCAATCTCAAAAGAACACCCTAGTAAATATCCCACACACTAAAGCCAATCTCAGAGTTTATTACCTGGAATAAACAACCAGTGACAATAAGGCAACTCAGGGAAATTCAAACATAAAGATTAAAGTTATTTACTGATTATAACAGGCATCAGAACATATATCAGAGGGCATCATAAAAGTTTACTGATACTTTTTAAAACAGGTTATTATTATATAGTAATTACCTCTGGAAAGCAGAGAGGGGCTAGGCATGGGAGAGCAGTGGTCAAAGAGTATGTTAGCTTTATCTGTAATGTGCCAATTTGTATTTCACTTTTTTATGCAGTATTTTGTTCTCTTTTAGTAGATGCACAGAATGAAAAAGACTGAAAGCAAAAAAGTTGCCAAACATGTTATTAATTCTGGGTGATGGAATACTAGCTGTTACTAGTTTTTTCTTTGTGTTTTGTTGCGTTTTCCAAATTTCCTGAAAGAAAGAAATAATGGAGTATTTACTTTCCCTATCACTGTACCTATCATCATGGGAACTCTTTCATATCTCCCTGTTTGGTACTCTTCAGGTTGCTACAAGGACTGATACAGAAAGATTTCTAAGAGCTAATTTCTCATTACTTTCTGTTGGATTTTATCAACCCCCAGAACTATTACTTGGCCTACTCACCCCGCTACTTGTTAAAATATTTAAATACTTCCACACAAGAAGTTCTTCCCTGTCCAGCCCTTCACTATGACTCCAGAGCCCTACCTGAAGTCTGTATGTAACATCAGTTCTAACCATATCATACCAACTGTCAGGTATTTTCAACATCACTGCAATCAACTTATTCCTCAAATCTAGCTAACATTCTTACACCATCAGATATTTCTTAAACTCCTGAATAATAAAAAACAAAACATAAAATAACTGTAAGTCAGCAATAAACAGAATTCTTAAAGAGCCTATTCACAACTCCTTCTGAGTTTTGCTTCGAGCAGAATATAGATAAATATGGAATAACATAAAACAAACGATATACCAAATAAGTATGTATCCATTATAAAATTTATTCCTATTAACAAAATTGGTTATTACACATGCTTGTAATGTGTAATGTATAATCCCCACATTACAAGGCTTCTTGTTTAGTTTCCAGTCAAAATTAACATCACAGATAATGAATTGTTGAAATGTGTCTCTTATGCTTTAAAAACATGTCATCACAGATGAAAGTTCACTAAAAGATATATAAGGATCCACTGACTATATAATTTTATAGACCTCTAAAAATGTTTGTAAAATATTATTTAAATATTCAAATATGTAAAATTCTTACCTCAGCTCTCTTCAGCATTTCCCATTTATTCAATATTTTCATGGCAAATACTTTATCTGCATTCTTTAATTTTACTACAGCAACCTAGAAAAGATAAAGTATAATTTTTGAAATATGGCAAAATACTTTTTTTCAGTCATCCATTTTCCTTTTTCCTCTCTGTAAAAGAATAAATACCAATTATGAATGATTTCAATGCAGTTCAAGTTTTAAAAGTCTATATTAAATAGTGTTGTCAGGTGAAAATGTCACATTAGTGAACATGTGCCAAACAAATAACTCTATCTTTGAATACTGTATCAGTTGATGATTATATATTAAGTCCTCCATTCCATGTTTTCTGTCCTGAAATTTAAACTCAGTATCTCCTTTCACTATGAAATTACTACGGTTCGTAAAATAATACATGTCAAATTCCAACATGATGCTATATGGAATGCCTACCAAAACAAACATGTTCCATGTGGATGAAATGATATGAAAATAATCATTTTCACACCACATACTCTTATATACTGTACCAAACAAACACACACACTCCTTGAGAGCAATTAAGACTAATATTTCTTAATAACAGACTTTTCAGATCCCTTTCCAAAAACAAAATACAAAAGGAATAGATATTTCTCTATTCTTTGTTTTAGTTATACAAAGAAAGGAAAACCAAACTCGCTGCTGCCAAGTCACTTCAACTCATAGTGACTCCTCCTTGGGTTTCCGAGACTGTATCTCTATGGAAGTAAATTGCCCAATCTTCCTTCCAAGGAGTGGCTGATGGGTTTGAACTGCCAGCCTTCTGGCTAGCAGTCAAATGCCTTAGGCACTATGCCACCAGATATTATTAAAAACTGTCAAACCGAGAAATAAATGAGTTCCCATTCTCACCACCAACAAACTGATTACATTTCTGTTTCTATAGCTCTACTTCAGTTTGACTAAATAATCTCTAGGAACCATTCCAGTCTGTTAAGAATGCTATAAGGCTGAGACTAACTAACAGAAGAGGAAGACTAAGTTCAGTGAGGGTATTTCCAATTACTGGGGGACCAGGAAGGTGGCGATGGATAATAATTTCATAAGCAGAAGGAAAGAACAAAGTATATACAACAGATCTTTAAACAGTTCAAAGGGATATTTCCAAGGACAGAGAATAGGTTTGAACTCAAGTGCCAAAATTTAATAACACATACACACACAAAGAAAGAAATCTTAATAGCAAATATGCTTATCAAAGGCATTTAATAAATTCATATTTGAATCAGACTGCAATAAAAATATATGACCATATAAAAATCTACTTAAAATGCAGTCACCTCATTATTTATTCATATCTGGTCATATCTGAAGAAATGACAGATCAGTGAAATAGCTCTTCCGGCAGTCTTAAGCTTAAAGAAAGGAGACTATAAACATGAGCAAGGAAAAATTTACTAAGATCTCTGAAAGGATAAAAACACAAGTTGAGCTACTCAGTAAACTGAAATCAAATGTGCACAACTGACAGTGCAAATGGACAGCAGGGCAGAAGCACTAAGCTAGACAAGCCTACATTTAGGACAGAACAGAGACATGGAAGGGTATCGCTTAACCCCTCTCCTTTATGCTGATTTAAGGAAAGATGGCTAAAAGATCCTACTACCCTGGTATCTTCCCATCATCAGGTCATAATGAGAGAAATGTACTCCTTGCACTGCATGATCCACCAGTATTTTTTTAAACCCCAGTGTTCTGGTTACCTAGCGCCACTCTGACAGGAATATACCACAAATGGGATGGCCTTAACAAGCAGGAGTTTATGCTCTCATAGTTTGGAGGCTCTAAGTCCAACTTCAAAGTGCCAGGATCTAGACACTGTGTGAGAGCCCCTCGACCCTGGGCTTCAGCTCTGCCTCTTGTTCCCAGCCCACTGAAGCTAGAGGCATCTCTTCATTCAGGCAGCTAGTGGCTATTGAGGCTAACAAGCCCAAGGTCAACAAATAAAATGGCACAGTCCCAGTGTTACCAAACCACATGGCAGGCCATTAATTCAAGTCCATTGTAAGTCCCAAGGTCGGCAGAACATGGCAGGCTGCTGAACAATGACACGGTTGCATGCAGGGTCCAAACGTGCCATAAGCAAGGGCACCTAACAACAACAACAATAGCTGGTGATAATGACAGTAGAGCAGTGGCAATAGTACCACCCACTAACACATATTGGGTGCATTCTAAATGTCAGGCTCTAAACTAAAAGTTTTATTTACACAGATCTATAATCTCTTATTTGCAATTCTAAAAGCTAAGAGGTAACTCATTTAGCAGCAAGTACTAACATCAAGACTTTTTATAGTCTTTTTTTTTTTTTTTCCAGTCTCACTCAGTGTAAAGCAAACACACTTCACTGCAGAAATACTAATGCATTTGCTTATGGAGTGCTGATCCAAACATCACGAGGGATGTCATGTAAACTATACTGTATGAACTAAATGACTTTTCTAAAATCAAAAAAATATTGGAACCAAAATAACCTCAAGGTTATAGAACTGTACCATAGGAATTTATTAAACACTCAAATACTTGGTTAGCATTTATTGTGGCAGTTTAGGGGAGCAATGAATAGCATGAACTGTTGGGTTTGAATCCTGGCTTTGTATAATTCTGGGCAAATAACCTTTCCATAATTGAGTTTTCTCAGTAATGTAGCAGGACAAATAATAATAGTAATAATAATCTCATATAATTGTGGTAAAGATTAAAATCATTAATACAGGTATAAACTCCTTACAGCATGGTCTGGCACTTAATAAGTGTTCCATAAGCATTAGCTATTATTATTAAGAGCTCTGGTGGTATAATGGTTAAAGCATTTGGCTATTAACCAACAGGTTGGCAGCTTGAATCCACCAGTCGCTCCACAGGAGATGATGCAGTCTGCATCTGTAAAGATTTACAGCCTTGGAAACTGTATGGGGCAGTTCTACTCTGTCTATAGGGTTGCTATGAGTTGGAATCAACTTGATTGGTAAGTGAAACATATAACTAAAACCTAAGCCACATCATTCACCATACTGTAGTTTTCAATATTAAAATATTGAGAAAATTTAAATATTATAAAATATGTAACAAGCTAAATATGATACATTATCCATCGGCTTGAAAAAAGTTGTTAAAAACTAATAGGAAACATTAACAATATATTGTTAAATGAAATAAAAAGTTTATTAAAATTTATTTAATTATGTTTAATAAACTATGGTTATTACATATATATAAACATCTAGATCTATAACATATGAACATTGAGAAGAATCTGAAATGCAGTGGAGTAAGGAGAAATAGTTCAGAAAATATTCTTGAATATACTGAATTGATAATGTGTTTAGAAAAGAATATGAAGCTGATGAAGTAATAAAACAAAATTGATACTGCTTTTCTTAACATTACAAATCATTTTCATTTCAGTAGAAGAAATTTAAGAAAAAGAGAGAACTCTAACTTCAGGTTCTATATTTTCAAGACCCACATCTACCTAACATATTAGAAGGTAGTATGTTAAAATGTCCTTTCTTGTTTAATTTGATCAGGATGGAAGCACATTTAGTATGGAATGAAAGATTATAAATTTAACAAACAATAAAGATAAATTTAAAAAATACTAAATATAGAATGTCTTTAAAAACTTCATAATAAAAACACTATAATGTTTTTAAAAAACTGCAAACACTATAGAAACAATCAAGATGTAATATGTATGAATGAGCTCCTGAATACAATTTAAGTATCATTTATAGGTGTAACCTATAAATTAAGAATGATCACATTATATTAACAGAATGTGAACTGCCAAGAAATAGTTGCCATGCAGTTCTGTAAATGCAGTCTACCTTTGATATATCCAGAATTGATCACACCACTTCTGTTCTTGCTTTACCTAAACTCTATTTCTGCCCTTACCCCCCACAATCTAGTCTCAACTCTGCAGCCACAGTGATCCTATTAAAATGTAACTCAGACCATGACACCCCTCTGCTCAAAGACATCCAATGTTTTTCCATCTCTAAGTAAAAATCAAAGTCCTTGTTACTGTCTAGCTGTCTTGTGCCATTGAGCCGATTCTGCCTCACGGCAACCTTGTGTATTACAGAGCAGAACTGCTCCACAGGGTTCCTTTAGCTGTGACCTTTATGGAAGCAGTTCATCAGGCTTTTTCTCAGCCAATACTAAATGTGCACCACCCTGGGACTGGCCAGCATGTTCTGGTCTTCTAACCTCCCTGACTTCATACTACTCTCCCCTCACATACCTACTGCAGCCATACTGGTCACCTTGCTCAGTCCCAACCCTGGGCCTCTTTGCACTTGTTCTCTAGTCCTGGAATACTCTTCCCCCATATAGCCACAGGGCTCGTTCTCTCATTCCTTTATTAAAATGTCACTTTGCCCCATGACATTTTCTCTCCCATTTCTTTGTTTCATTTTCTCTTTAGCTCTTATCATTATTTAACAAATTAAATATTCTATTTATGCATTTTACTTATTGTCTCACTCACTAGAATATAATTATGTGTAGGCAGGAATTTTTTTCCCCTGATTTGTTCATTAATGTGTGCCCAGTGCTTGGGAATCGACAGGTACTCGACAAATATTGGATGCATGATGAATGATCTGTAGTCTATACGGGTACATATACATACCAATTTGTAAACCATCAATAATCTCAGTAGCAAGTATACTATTAAACTGATACTGAAACTCAATAAAAATACATTATGAAAAATATATCATTTATATTTTATAAGTTATTAAGTATGTATCAGATTATTCTACATCATGCTGCTCTCTTATCAAAATGTGTGGCTTTTAAAGTCTGTACTTCATTATCAGGAATCCTAGTGGCACAACAGTTAAGCACGTGGCTGCCAAATGAAAAACTAGTGGTTAAAATCCACTTAGCAGCTCCGCAGGAGAGGACTTGGCAATCTGCTCCCATAAATATTAACCTATTGCCACTGAGTAGATTCTGACTCACAGAGACCCTATAGGACACAGTAGTACTACCCCATAGGTTTCCAAGGCTATAATCTTTACAAAATGCAACTGCCACAT